CTTAGAATGGTGAAAAAAATGCAAAACACTGATAATACCAAATGCTGTGAAAGATGTAGAACAGGAACCCATTGCTGGTAGAAATGCAAAATGGTACAGCCACTTTGGAAGACAGTTTGGCTGTTTCCTACAAACCTATATGTAGCCTTACCATACAATCCAGCCATCAGGCTCATAGAAGCTTATAACCCGAATGAATTGAAAGCATGTGTCCACACAAAAACCTGCACATGGATATTCACAGCAGCTTTATTAATGATTGCCCCAAACAGGAAGCAACCAAGATGTCCTTCAGCAGGTAAATGAATTAAAGAGAAAAAAAAAAAAAAAAAAAAACCCTGGTGCATCCATATAATGGAATATTATTCAGTGATAAAAAGAAATGAGCTATGAAGCCAGGAAAGGACATGGAGAAACCCTAAGTGCATATTGTTGAGTGACAGAGCCAGTTTTAAAAGGCTACATATTGTATGATTCTGACCATATGACATTTTGGAAAAAACTCAAACTATAGAGACTAAAAAGATTGGTACAGGGGAGAGAGAAGAAACGAATAATGAGAGCCCATGAGATTTTTTAGGGCAGTTAAATTCTTCTGTATTTCTTGACATTGCTATTCCAACAATATTGGACCATTTGAAACAAACTGACAGGGTAAAGAAGCTGGATAGATGGTTCCACATGAATTAAATGAGCATCAGAAGAGAAATTGTCTTGAAGCTTGCCTTTCTTTGCTGTCATGACATACTATAATGGTAGTTACATGAAAATATCCATTTGTAAAAACTCAAAAATGTACAGCACCAATAGTGGCCCCTAATGTAAACTATGTACTTTAGTTAGTAATAATGTATCAATATAATTACTCAGTTGTTATAAATGTACCACACTAATGCAAGAAGACGTTAATAACAAGGGAAACTGGGGGGGATGTTGAGAGGCTATGTGGGAACTCTGTGCTATCTTATCAGTTTTCTAACTATCTGAGCAATTTAAAAGTATTTTCTAAAATAATGTGATTGAAAAATAGCCACATGATAAAAATCAATTTAGAAAATGAGCAAAAATAGAGACATTTCACTGAAGAGGATATACAATGGCAAATATACACATGAAGAAATGTTCAACATTACTGGCCATTAAAGAAATTAAAACAACAATGGAGTATTACTACACACCTATCAGAATGGCTAAACTAAAAAGTAGTGACAATATAAAATACTAGAAAGGATTCAGAAAAACAGAATCATTTGTATTTTGGTGGATAAGAAATAGTACACCTACTCTAGAAAAGTTTTATACTTAAAAAAATAAATGTGAAACTACCATATGATCCTGAAATTGCCTTCCTGGGCATTTATCCCAGAGAAAATGAAGACATGTTCACACAACCTGTACATGAAGGTTCATAGCAGCTTTGTTATTAGCCCCAAACTAGAAACAATCTACATGTCCTTCAGCAAGTAAATGGTTAAACAAACTGGTGCCTCCATACCATGGAATACTACTTGGCAATAAAAAAAGTTTAAACTAGACCGGGCGCGGTGGCTCACGCCTGTAATCCTAGCAATCTGGGAGGCCGAGGTGGGCCGATTGCTCAAGATCAGGAGTTCGAAACCAACCTGAGCAAGAGCGAGACCCCATCTCTACTAAAAAATAGAAAGAAATCGGCCAACTAAAAATATGTAGGAAAAAATTAGCCGTGCATGGTGGCGCATGCCTGTAGTCCCAGCTACTTGGGAGGCTGAGGCAGGAGGATCACTTGAGCCCAGGAGTTTGAGGTTGCTGTGAGCTAGGCTGACGCCATGGCACTCACTCTAGCCTGGGCAACAAAGTGAGACTCTGTCTCAAAAAAAAAAAAAATTGTTTAACATATTGATCCAAATACTGAGATCAACCTACAGAGAATTAGGCTGAACAAAGCCAGTCCCTAAAAGGTTATATATTAATGTGTGTCCACTTATATAATATTCTTGAAATAATGAAGTTATAGGACAGAAGAACAGATGAGTGGTTGCCATGGGTTAAAGGGGGTGGGAATGGGAGGTAAGTGGTCGTGACTACGAAAGGGCAACGTGAGTGCTCCTTGGGGTGCTGGAAATGGTCTGCATCTTGACTTTATCCATGTCTCACTGTCCCACAGTATTGCATTTGTGGATCTACTATAGTTTATCCCTTCTAATACTGCTGGGCATTTGGATAGCTTCCATTTGGGGGCTGTATGAATAATGCAGCTGTGATCATTCCTGGACATGTCTTATGAACATACTCCGTATTCCTGGTGGGCCTACACCTCTAAGTGAAAAGGCTGCATCACAGGATATATACATGTTCAGCTTTTGTAAGAGCTTTCCAAAATAGGTGTGCCATGCTATGGTTAGAGTGTCTCCCCCAAAATTCCATGTGCTGGGAACTTACTCTCCAATGCAATGGTGTTGGAAGAGGGAGCCTAATAAGAGGCGATCATGTCAGGAGGGCAGAGCCCTCAAGAATGGATTAATGTTATCTCAACACTGGGTTGTTATAAACAGAGTTTGGCCTCTGGTTTCTCTCCGTCTCACATGCTTGCTGGCCCTTCTGCCATGTTATGACACAACAAGAAGCCTCCGCCAGATCCCAGCACATCTCTTGGACTTTTCAGCCTCCAGAACTTTAAGAAATAAATTTCTTTATACATTATCCCTTCTCGGGTATTCTGTTACAGCAACTGAAAACAGACTAAGACATGCCACTTACGCTTCTTCCAGTACTTATCTAAATCTTCCCTAACGTGGCATTTTCAGTCTTTTAAATTTTAGTCACTCTAGTGGGTATGTATTGGAATTGCATTTTGGTTTTAATGATGAGTAACAAAATTGAGCAAAAGGCCCTTGTCTTTTGAAGAGAGACCAGGTGCACAAAAACAACTCCTTACTTTAGGGACCAAGACTTGCCATGGGACTGTTTCCCACATTTACAACAAAATGAATTTTGTTTAGGCCTGCACTGAAGGTGACAAGTTGGAATGTTTCCCTTAAACTTAATAGCTGAGCCCAAACCATCTTAACCAAAGGTTTGACCAGTAACAGCAAAGAGGACAATGACGGGACCCGGGCTGACCCTTGGGGGCCAGAATGACATGTTGAGATGAGTGCACATGCAGTTATGGCAGAGCCCTCTTAATCTAAACACAAACAATGCCAACACTCGATTTTATTCCCTTCATACTATTACTATGTAATGAGATAGAATAAAGAGAGCTTTTCAGTTATCTGTTTCAGTGAATAGCAACGCTTCAGGCATTTCTCTGTGGGGACCCACTTGGACCCCCAGAGTTGATATGAAGATTTTAAACGGAAGATGTTTGAGATTCAATAGATGCAAAAATAAGCCTTTTCAGAGCTTCCTTTATCTAACTAAATGCAGGCACTTCTGAGACTGAGGCTGCCATAAATCCCGTCTGTGGGAGCCTTACTGGAAGGTAGATGGAGCCCATTGGCACCTGCACAAACATCATCACAAACTATCTCCTGAAACTCATTTGTCTTTCCTAAAGAAATCACCTGATCTTCCCATGGAAGCCTGTTTCTCCCCGTCCCTTTCCCTTATTAAGTTATGTGTATAAAACCCTGATCTCTAGTTATGGAGGGAACCACTTCCTCTGTGCACTCCATATATGTATGGATAAACTTTGTCTTTTTTACTGTTAACCTTTTTTGGTTAATTTGCAGACCAGCCCATCACTAAACCTAAGTTGGGAAGGAAAGAGTTTTTCCTCCCAACAATCCTTTGACTAGCATTAGGACCCTTCAATTTGGGCTCCCCTCCCCTCCCCTTAATAACCTATTTAGTAGGACTGCATAATTCTAGAATCATATTTGATTTAAAATATATGACTAATTTGGGAGTGCTCATGTGAATAGCGTTTCCCTACACATGCATGTGCCAAGGTGAAATACCGCCAAGTCTCAGTTTTAAAAGGTGAATGTCCATCAGCGTTTGCGGTGATGAATTTTCCTTTCCGGACAGTACCTTAGACAACCTCTGGTCTTCTCAACAGTCAGGGCCTGTCCTGCACATCGGCTCAATCAGCAGGTGTTTGGTATCTAGCAAGGGCCAGCTTCAAACCTCACGCACAGGAACGCCAAGACTCCCAGTCAATGCTCGCCCCTGGAAACAAGCTGCTAGTCACAGGGCACCACTCACTTGCCCACTCCCCCTTCATGCCAAGAGTTGGGACATCAGAACTTTTTTATTTATTTTTTTCTGGAGACAGAGTCTCACTTTGTTGCCCAGGCTAGAGTGAGTGCCGTGGCGTCAGCCTGGCTCACAGAGACCTCAAACTCCTGGGCTCAAGCAATTCTGCTGCCTCAACCTCCCCAGTAGCTGGGACTAAAGGCATGTGCCACCATGCCCAGCTAATTTTTTTTCTATGTATATTAGTTGGCCAATTAATTTCTTTTCTATTTATAGTAGAGACAGGGTCTCGCTCTTGCTGGTTTCGAACTCCTGACCTTGAGCAATCTGCCCGCCTCGGCCTCCCAGAGTGCTGGGATTACAGGCGTGAGCCAGCACACCAGGCCAGACATCCGAACCTTTTTATCTATCCTGTAATATTCTGAAATAATTTTTTTTTAAGGGAGCCTTTTTATCAGGGGATAAATGTGGGCTCCGAGTCAGACGTCTGAAAACAGGATTCCATTTGTAGCTTAATATATTATTACTTTTTTATATATAAAGTCAGACTATTAAAAGGGGCTTGAAACATATTTCTCTCCCCATTTGCGGTGGAGGGACCAAAAGGGACTCAGAGCTCCAAATGTTAAATATCCCAGCGGCACAGTGAGCTCAAACTCACTGCCCAGCTACCTGCAGGGGTCTGGGACGCTCTGCTGGCTGCAGGTGGGGCCTGTGCTAAGTTAGCCGCGTCCAGGGCGGCGCCCGCGCACGTGCGGGCGTGGGGGCGCTGCGCGGCCCTTCAGGCCAGGTGGGCGCAGCCCGCCCGCCCGCGGGGAGCTTACCTGCGTGGCTGCGACGAGGAGCGGATGGGCCACCACGACAGGCCAGGGCCAGAGTCGCGGGGAGAGGGACAGAACTTGGGACCGGGATTTGGGTAGCAGCTGCAGCACGGGGTGCAGTTTGGGAGATGGGGGTAGGGAGGGCTGGAGGGAGCGTGAGTCGAGACCTGGCGGCCCGGCTTCGCTGTCCCCGTCGGACGCCCCCAGCCAGCCGACCCCATCGCCTGGCGGGGCGGCCCTGCCCCGTTCGCGATTCGGAGGAGGACCCGACTCCCGCTCGGGCCGCTGCCGTCGCTGCCCCAAAGGCCCCCTTGGCCACCCAGGGAAGTGCTGGCAGCCCGAGGCGCCGGCGCATTTGTTGTCTATCTCGGGGGTGATGGGCAGGGAGTTTAAGAATGAATACCTGCGCCCAGACCCCACCTGAGACCAATTCAATCAATCTGGGGGGCGGGGGTGTGTGTGGAACGCTGGCATAGGCTTCTTCTGGAAGGTTCTCCAGGGGATTCATATGTATGTGCAGCCCCTTGTGATCTGTTTTCTAAAAGGATTAGAAAGTACCTAGGAGGGTGCTTCCAGCACGTCCAAAATCGATACGGGATTTTATACTAAAGACTCATTTTTTGAAAAAATCGGAGAGCCTAGTGTAAAAGATAAAACGATAAAAAGTAAGTATACTTACTTTTCCATTGACATTCTTGGTTACGATTGGTTATGAGAGTTGGTTTCATGTGGCAAGTGCTGGCATGAAAAAACCCAATTCCACCTCTAAAACCCCTTGGAAACACATTCACATGTGTCAACAATAAAATACTTGTGTGTCTTAAACGAGTATTACTTGTGACAGGGAAAAGGTGAATTTTGCTGTGATTTGCTGTAAAGGGAGATGTGTCCAAAAAACAAAAACAGCTCATCAGACAAATCAAAGTGTGCCAATGTTCCCACATGCAAACCATACACTCGAAGCTGTTCCTTACTTAGCAAATGCAAAGGATGACAAGTGTCAGTACTTCATACAACTAGATTTAATAAGTTATTACAGAAAAAAAAAATGAAGTCCAAACTACAAAGTTTAAGCAGTTGTAAGCAGTAGCTGCATTGAGCTCCGTGTTCAGTCACAGTACTGTAGTTCCATACAAGCAATATTAGTCCAAGCCCCAGAGGCAGAAGCTGAGTAAGGGTTACTAGCAAAAAACAATCTAAGAGAACAGGTAATAAAAGATACAATACATTTAAAATTAGTTGTTAGTTGAAAAACAAATACAGAGATCTTAGCTGTGAACACTCTAAAAGTTATGTCCATTATTTAGACAGCAAAAATACAAATACCTAATACTTTATACCCCAACAGAACTATACCCAGGAAAGAAAAAGAGAAGTTATCCTGTTTTAGCACCCAAGTTTTCTACTTGTTGCAATTAACTTTGTTGTCATACAAATTTAAACGTCCCCGAATCATATATCCACTTCTTGACCCATTTTGGGGTATAGAGTAAAGTCAACAGCATTTAATTATAAAATACTCTGTGGTAAGATGGAACACTATTGCAGCTGAGATAGAGAAGTTTGGTTATTATAAAGGAAAAAAAACCAAAGAAATGTTAGCTGACATACCATACAAACTAGTGAAAAGGCAACAGTCCATTCAAATAAATCACTTTTAACAAAGGTACTTTTTTTCACTAATCTGTGACTAATCTTTCACTCAAACCTTGCAAAGTAGAGATGTCACAATACTCAAATATTTAGGTAGGAGCTTTACCCAGTTAAATGCCATTTTGTTGCTAATATAATAGATAAAATGAAAACTAGCAGTTATTTGCTAATTGCATAAATGCAGTACGTTCTGCATTAGCCCATGCCTCACTAACAAGCTATAAAACACAAGATATAGGCAGAAATCTAAGCATAATCTTTATACCACTAAGCAAGAATTTTCCAATTTCTTTTCTTCTGTTCCTAATCATTTATTTGTAGTTAATGTAAAATTCCAACCAGTAGTACCCAATTTGAGTTAAAATTTTACATCACAACTTGATCTAATCTATATATTATTTACAAAACTGAATACATAGAGCATACCCAAGAGCCGAATCTGGACACGCGTTTCTCCGAGTTATTGATTAACCTCACCTCCGTGGCAACGGAACCGGAAGAGGCCATCAACGACTAGTAGAAACACATCATCTGTCTAGAGCAAGTCATTGGCTGTTCTGTTTACGCAACACCAGTTTTGCAGTTGTATGATTTTTTGTTTTAATTTTAGGTGCCATTGCAATGACACGCTGCCTTAACAGCACAGCTTCCAGGTGAGGAGGGTGTTGGAAAAAAAGGAGGGCAGACAGATCATGCACGGAGTTGCCACAAGAAAAGGCAAACAAGGGCACCGTAACAGGGAGCAGGCAGGGGTGTGGAGGAAGATGCAGCCCGACACTTACACAGTGTCCATATACAGTGGTGACATCCCAGTGTGCTTCTTCCACAGTGCTGCCAACCGAGCCCTACCGGTTGGCAACACAGGTGAGACACTGTAGCTCCAGTCTCCACAACACAGAAGGTGGTGTCCTCTTAGCAAACTCCTTTGACTCAGAGACCTCACCACTGTAAATGCACATCAAAGATTCAGCCTGGGAGAAAGGCATCGTCTCACACACACGGACAGCAGTTGGTGGCAGATTCTCACACACACACACAGGACATAATGAAGAGTTAGAGGGGGAAAGCAATGAAACATTCTGTTGACCTGGCCAGGTTTTAAACCCGGGGGTATTTCAGTAGGAGTGACTTCATTATCAGGGCCACAGATTTGGCTGCACCTGGTGTTGTATAAATCCACTGTGACATCCCTAGAGAGCTGTACTGTGACATCCCTAGTCTTACACTAAACCACTGTAATAAAGGAAAAGGCTTGTCAGAATCTCACATGTTCTGCTCATTCTGTCATTTTATTACCCAATTATCCATTACATTTCCAATCATTTTACATAACCAACCATTTTCATCGTTGTCACACTATTGTAAACCACATCAGCAAGTTAATACATAAAGCTTTGCATTTCAAAAAACTAGACACTTTAGTAACAATATTACAAAGGTTTTAGCTTCAAAAATAACTGAAATGAAAAAAATAAACTTTTAAAGAATTAGCATCATAAAATTAATTTATTCCAATAAAAATACAAAATAATATTATGACATTGACCAGATATGAAAGTCCCTCCCAGAAACAACTCTATTAATGATTGAGAAAGCACTCCTTAAAGAAAATACGAAATAAAATGAAAAATATGTAAATATGTTTAATTTTTTTCTTAGCAAAAAATCTTTCTAAAAATAACAATGAAAATTTGTCTCAGTACAAAGGCTACATTACTATTGAAAAAATACCAGCATGAAGAAAAGGTACATATTTGACAGTAGAAAAATGATTTCAGTGAATCACAATGTCTAAAGTTTGCAATGAAAATAAATCTGCAATAAAGATTTATGCCTTTTTTCTTTTCTTTTTTTTTCTATTTTTTATACAAACAGTACAAACAGTATTGCACATAACAACAAATAGTCGAGGTTAGGTTATAGCCTTCAAAAAATCGACTAGTTCAAGTGTCACATCAAGGAAAGGCCACAACAGGACCTGTGTTACCCAGGGGCTTCCCAGTCAAGTTGCAGGTCAGAACACATCTGTGTTTTAAAAAATAATTTCTTTTGAAGGACCCTCTCTTTTAATATAACATTAACAACTTGGGGGCACATTTATTTACAAAACAAAAGGGAACATGTTATAATTTAATAAACTAAAAAAGTTCTCTTTAAAAAAATACAAACAGAAGAACTCTTTCACAATCCTGGTCAGTCGTGCACAATCAACGCTTGATTATAAATATACAAATTAAGGGAAAGTAGTTTCCACCATCTATTCACAACTTTCAGCACCAAATGGAGTTTGTTTTTTGTAACCTATTCTTCATGACAATGTTTTGTTTTTTTTTTGCCTTCACTCTAGCTTTATGCTGTACAACCTTCCAGCTTTTTAAAAAAATCTCAGTGTTATTTTAGTACATGAAAGAGGGGTGCTTCTTCAAAAAGTTTTGCTTCTTTCACATAATTAGGTAGATTTCTGTAGGTTAGATATGATCTTTAATATTATAGTTATAAAGCTCTAACTTCTTCATTTTCAAAAAACACAAATAAGCATGAAAAAAATAAAGTTACCCATCTGTTAAATCATTTTCTTGCAGAATTAAATTAATATATATTTTTCTGAATAAACTTACTTAGAAAATATCATTTTCTTTCCTATATTTCAAAATTGAGGTATTGCAAAAGATCATGTCAGTCAGAAAGCATGCCTTTTTCCTTAAAAACGAAAAAAAAAATCTTCAGCCAACTTTTGAAAACTGTCTAGAATACAAAAAGTAGTAGTGCATAACAAAATTTCTTGTACAGATGAAAAAAACCCACAAACATAGAAAAAAACAAACAAAACCACACCTGGGCTGGAAAAAAGCAATTATTACCAAAAAGCCCAGAGGTAATCTCAAAAGGGGAAGATTCTAATAAGCATTTTTAATCCAGTAAAAAACTATTTTCCTTTATGAAAACAAACTATAGTTTGAGAGCCAGTAATTGCAACTAAACATGGGAGAAAAAACAAAACAAAAACAAGCAATACTAACTTAAGACAGTACAAGGACATCACAGCACATAAAACACAGCGACTTAAATCTATTCTGCAGTGTCATATCCAGTCAGATTGTCCCCAGAATTCCAAAATATAGGAAGAAGATTAAAAAAAGATTTACATAGTCTCACAATCATTGTGTGTGTTTATATATTACTATCTGCAGCCCAAGAGTGAATGCTAAAAAAATGTCCATGGTAGTACTAGCAGGTCTTAATTCTATTCAAGCTTTACAGGATAAATCCAGGGAATTAAGTAGTAAATTTCTCACCCAGACAACCAACTCTGCCCAGGCCATCTTATTTTGTACAGACATTTCTTTAGCATCACCATTACACAACTTTCTTAAAAATGTGCCTAGTTTGTCAATCTGACAACTTATCTCTATATACTGTATATATTCTTAGTGTTTGTAAGCTAAGATGAGCTCTTTGGTTTTCTGGACAAGGTCTGAAGCTATGTAAAATGGTGCAAGCACTAGGAGATTGTAACTAAGAGCTCATGTGTTAGTTAATAATATACCAGTTATGAACTGTCAAGTTCGTTAATGTCTGACACAGAGGCTTTAAACAGTTAAATTTGATCACAGTTAGACATAATCACTTTACTATATAAAATAAATTGCACAATATATAACAGAGCACCGCAAAGTACTTCATCTACCATCCACAAATTTGCTTTAAGAATATCCTACACCTAGGTTTTCTATTGTTGTAATATAGGTCATTCTGTTATGGGCTCTTCCTATTCAGAAGCATTCCATTTATTGAGGCATGCCTTCCTCCGGTCAATTACCAACTCTTTGAATGAAAAAAATCTTTTTTAAAAAAATGAGTATTTTATAGCTTATATAGATTCTTAATTTGTGCATTGTGGGAAGGTTTTATACTAGACATTGGATATAAAATTTATTGCATGCAGCAACCTGATTAAGTAAACATGCAGTCAGAAATAGTGACCTTCCGTTGAAGCTTTCTGAAGTCTACTCTGATCTCCTTTCGGCAGTTGACTCTATCCCTAAATCACAAAAGTGTGTTGTTGGGTTTCTGTGTTTTTTTTTTAATTGATACCTTAGCCTGAATAGAGTATTATGGTATTAATAATACCATTTTAATAGCAGCAAAAGCTATTGCAGCATAAATTTACATAACACTAAAAGATCTAACCAAAATCCTCAGCAAAACAAAAATCAAACATGAAAGAAAAATAAAGATCCAGCTTATGAGGTATCC